GAGGATAAGTATCAAGAAGTACATTTCTTTTTCTTTTCCATCTACATCCCGGAATATAGAAAATTGCTATGGGTACAGAGGTGAAGAAGGACCAATTGAGGGGAGAATTCAACTCCATTGGAACTGAGGCAAAGCCTAGTGTTTGAATAGGTATTTGCCAACTCAAAGCCACCTGCCCATGAAGAACTCTGCAATAGGCTGTTAATGAGGATGGAGAAAATTTTGAAAAATGTCACCACTCTATGTTCACTACTAGCCATATTCATCTTAGACCTCAATAGGATGAATCATAACTTGGCCCAGTGGCTAGCTATGCCTCAGTCTCTGCTTTTTCCTTCTGAGCAATTTCCCCATTGCCAGAGGCTATAAATGCCTCCAGGTTACTCATCACTTACTCTTTGAGGCTTCAAGCTCTGGGAGAGTCTATTGCACAAATATTTGACTCTAATTTGTCTTCTCAGAGCATGGACAAACAATATGGGCAATCACCAGTACAGAGTTTCAGGGGCAATGAGATTGTCACCTGCAGGTGTGCTCAGGCTAAAGATTCCAAAGTTGGGACCGAGGGGCTTCAGATTTCCATACAGCTAATGTAGACAGGAGAAAGAATTAGGGGTTGGGCTCAGGGGAAGGGAGATGTGGCAGGGCCCTCAGTACGTTTGCACCCTAGCCCTCAACTCTTGGTTCTAAATTGCTGACCCTGTCCCTGACCTACACCTCGGTAGTTTATTCATTCTCAAGGACCCAAAGTGGACCAAATACCACTTGAGTTTACCCTGGGCCCAGCTTTAATCACAGCCTATGGGAATGGCCAAGACATTTCCTTATCCACATTAACATTAGATACTACACCGACTGAAATACAGATGTTTTCATAAACTAGAATGCTAGTAGAGGAAATTCCAACATATTGGCAGAGCAAAGAAGATTTTTGCCAAGCTGTCCTCATGTATGAATCTCTTTCTAGGTGAACTGTGGACAAATAGTAGGTAGAGAAATAATTATGGGGAGGGAGAGCTAGCTCTGACTTGCAACATAATTTCTGTAGGGTGAATACTTCTACCATGGCCATTTATGCTTAGCAACAAAATGCCCCTCTATGTTGAGTTGGGAAGAGAAGGCAAATCACTCAGCAATATATGTTATTTCCACCAGACACCATGTATGTGAATAACCTTGGGCAAAAAGAAAAGTAAAACAATTAACTAGGAAATGATGAGTTTTGATTATTTATTAAATTTGTTCTTCATACAATTTACTAAATTGTAAGTCTCCATACTTTAATTTTTAATAATGTTTATTTAATGGTGTTGACCAATTTCTGAAAATTCAGAAGACCAAGGCCTTGGGCTTCCTTAAGCTCACTTTCTCCCCTTAGTTAGCACACACATGGGCTGCCCCTCCAAGCGCACACACATTTGCATCTATACCATGTGTCCAAGACAACACAATCAGGAGACTGTGGTCAAACTTTGGGACTTCATCACCCCCTGGAGCAAATGACTATGATTTGAGTCTGTCCCTGATTAGTACACACTGGAAGCCACCCTGATACCATCAAGTCTGTGGGGATGTGAGTCCCAACTCTGAGCAGAACTCCATGTCAGTCACTACAAGTATCTTGAGACAGGGATAGAGCAGGAGGGACAGGAACTCAAGGGGCTTCTAGGTAGTCCTCTCCAGTGTCAGGTGAAGAGAGAAGCTACCAGCCACTCTGTTGTGAAAGACTGGAATCAGATTCTGTGTCCTTCAAGCTAAGGAAAGAGGCAGTGGCAGACTTTTACAAGAGAACTTTACTGAATGATTTCCTATACTAGAGGACTAGTGACGCCTGAAAGAAACAAAATGAGTTGTTCCCCAATATCAAAATGGCACTAAGGTGGAGCCACAGCACCCTCTGGTCTCTACAAGTGGGATGGCAGGAAGGTGATGGGACAGATCTGGTTTGCTTGGAAGAAGCTGGAAGACAGGCTGTGTCTCCAGAAGGGAACAGGAGTATAAATCACTGGTATTAGAAGTGCCGGAGTTGGGAGGAGTCCATCCCCGAGTAAACTGACCAGTCCCACCAGGGCCCAGCTGGAATGTAGATGTGGTATACATCACATCACTCTAGTGAACTCCTTTCGCTCCTGGTCCCACACACCACACAGAAGCTGCAGGCAGGAGTGTGTCAGTTGCAGTAAGGTATACAAATCCATGAGGCTGAGTTCCTGGGGCCATGTTCCCAAGGTCGGTCCCTTGGCCTGAGAGCAGAGGCAGGAGGAAAACCTGGCACCAAGAGTCAGCAAACCAGACTCAAATACCAGCGCTGCCACTTACTCTCCCCAAATCTTGCCTATCCTCTGGGCTACTTCACCTCTCTGAGTCTGTTACTATCCCTGCCAAGTGAGACCTTTAATTTGGGCCCACACAGCTGCCAGGAAGACTGGCTTTCACCACAAAGCCAAAGCACACAGATGGTAAGAGGGTCTTAATCAGTGTTTCCTTCAGGGCATGTTCTTATGGATAGCAAAGGCTGGACAATAAGAATTAGCAGAAATATTATTTCCTTTTTATGGCAATAATATTTTGAGATGGTCTTTGGGGACTTGAATCCAGGAGCTATTCAAATGAAAAGTAGATACTTTGGGACCAAACAGGGTGTTGGTTCTTGGCTCCCAGAGTCCTCTCATCTTTACATGAGATCCCACAGACCCCACTGTTCCTTCTCATGCACAGGGTGCAAACTGGACTCTTTCCAGCAGATTTAAAGAGACTTACACTTGCAGTTCTCCATCTTGTCGACATGCAAAGCACCTGAAGTTTTTGGATCCCTGACACCCAGGCCCGCAACCAGAGATTCTGCTCTAACTGGTCTGGGGGCAGGCTGACAGCAGAATATTTAAAAGGTCCCAGTCATGCTCATATGTAGCCATAGCTGAGCATCCTTGCCTCAAACCACAATCTCCATTGCTGGAAATCACAGCCAGTGTCAACATCACCTTCCACTTGAGGGTGGTATAGATGATGGGCCCTTGCTCCCAAATGTGTCTTCTCCATGTCCTCAGAGACTAGGCCCTCAGTTATACCTTGCCAGCCTCAGTTCAGTGCCTCATCACCAGCAATCACACCTTCTTCTCTGCCTGTCACCAGGACCTCACTTTCTCTTTCTTCCAGACTCATCTGTCTCGAGAGCCATCCACCAGACTAGGCCCTGTAGGCCACCCACTGGGGGCAGCACACCTGCCACAAGATGTTGGTTCTACACACCCACTGCACCTCTTCCCTAAAAATGCATATGCTGGGGCCAGCAGATGGCATAGTGGTTACATCACCAGACTCCCACATGGTTGACCACAGTTCAAGTCCTGGACCCAGTAGTTTGAATACTCACACTGAGTATGTGTGTATGTCCAAGATCCTGGGAGGATAATAGAGAAGAGATTGTGGTGGGGCCATCCCCTGTGGGGGGTTATTTCTCACTTTCTCTCTCATTGTCTCTCTCTCCCTCATGAGCCCTAAGGCTAAAACCTAAAACAAAGAATAAACATGCCACCCCATTGGTGCTGTCTGACCAAGACCTCCATTGCCAGTGTGTCAGCTCCAAGGCAGAGACCACGCCCTCATCTATTCTTTAAACATATACCACATAGAACACCATGGTCATTGTGCATGTAAGGGACCATTACCTCCTCCCTTGAGGGGCTGCCAAGAGCCCATGGCCAAGAATGAGCCTGGACATGGTGGTCATCTTTGAGGGATTCTGGGAGGGGTCTGGTGGACACAATACCTTTACAAAGGTGGGGCCAGTTGTGACCACCTTTCTCGATCCTCAGGACCAAGCCCCCTTTGGGATGAACAAATGAAATCAGGATCCCATATTGAGTTCAATCCTTTATTCAGTTCTTAGATGTCTCACTTGCTGCTTTGCTCCTCTGATAAGTATCTCGAACCCCAAAAGCCAGCTCCAGATTGCTGCTTCTTCTGAATCTGCCAAGATCCAGTCCCCAGTTGGTACCGGCATTTCATTGCATTCTTACTGCTTTCCAGGGCAGACTCAATGTCGTGGGGTGACCCTCTAGGCTTTTCTTGACCACCCTAGCCAAAGGAGGCAAGGGCGTGGGTTATGGTGGCAAGGAGAATGGAAACTAGCAAAAGAGGTTAGTTCCTCTGTCCTTCTGGCAGGGCTCAGGGGCTCATCCTACATCCCAGGGAATAAAGACTTCTTACTCCAGCTAGGGGTGGGCATCTCAGTCAGTTCTAGTTAGAACCAACAGTCATGACTAAGTCTCTATTGGAATTCTCCATCTCCTTTCCCTGGGCTGTGCAGTTGCTAGCCTACTGAGCTCTTGTCCAGCTCAAGCCACACACTTGTGTAGAGAGAGGGGTCTTCACCTGGCTCAAACGGGCAATTTGTCACTGCTAGGACAGTATGTAAAAACTCCCATTCCTACCAAGCCAGAACTAGGGCCCTGGGTCTGGTTTCTCTCCTAGTTTATGGCAAAGCCATGCCTCCTTGAAAACCAACCATGCCTTGGCTGCTTCTGACCTACTTGAGTCACCCATTAATCTGCATCTCCCTGGAGACCCCATGCAAACAGGATTCCTGACCTAAGAGCCCTAAGAAGTTTTCTTCTTTCTGATATCCTCCCCAGCTCACATTTCTGATTATGATGTCAAAACTTGAAAGATGCAGATCCTGGAAGAATAGAAGCAATCATGTTTACTTCTACATCACAGGCACTAAAAAGTATGATGCAGCTAACATTCTTGTCTTTCTTTAGCCTTCATCCTACACATTCTGTTTTGAGCAGAACCAAATTACACCGAAATTGTTGAGAAGATACACTAGCAATTCCCTGGAAGATTCTGGGAGCCACAGAGCAGAGTTCCTGACCTTTATCATTCCTTCTGACATCCCATCTAACCTGTCTGCTTAATCAGAAAAAAACCAAACAAACAAACAACAAAAAAACCCCAGTATTTAGGTAAACCACTGGAAACACTGACCAAATTGACACTTGCTTTGGAAAACATTCTTTATTAAGCTTGTCCTATCTTAAGGAAAGACTGAGATATATACTATTGGCCTAAGAAGCTAGTTCATAAAAGATGAGAAAAGAAATTCCATCTGGGAAAAGTTCTGTTGTTGTTAGTGTTGAACTCACAGTTGTATACAGGGTTGTAGACATTGGCACCTGTTTACCTTTGACATTTTGCCCTAACACTGAGTATGTGGATCTAGAAAAAGAACCCTGGTGTCCACCTTTCTTCACCTTTACTTCAACCACCCCACATACACCTGTGCCAAGGTAAACAGAGTTCCGGTGCTGCTAGATGTCCTACTGTGTGGCTGTGTTTCTTCCGTCCTTGGGGCTAGTGTCTGAGCCCGTTCTCTAGGCTTCACATCCGAGAGCTCAGAGTCTGACCACTGGAGGTACGTGTCTTTCTGCCCAGGGTGAAGGCTGCTACAACCAGGACCACAGCTACGAAGACCCCAGCAGAGATGGCAGCAGTGTGATAGCTCTCCTGGGGGCTGGTGGGTTCCACCACATCATCCACTGACAGCTCTGGAAAGGAGAGGAGAGCATGATAATAGACTTGGCACCAGGACAGAGCCCAGGGGGAAAGAGGGGAGATGAGGAAGGGCAGTGGCCCCAGGTGAGAGGTAAGAGCAATCAAACTATTTGGTGGAAAGGGATTAAAAAAAAAAAAAAAAAGATAGGGAGGTGAACAAGAAACTGAGACCAGACCCCAAAGGGCAGCCAGTTGTTGGGCCAGAGGAATCTCACATTGTTTTGTCACCTGGGAAGGTTGGTTGGTTGTTTCGTTTTTTAAGACAAGGTCACACTGTGTCTCAACCCTCCTGCCTCAGCCACCTGAGTATCTGAGACCACCGGCAAGCACCAACAGGCCTGACTCTCAGACAGAGTTGTCCAGGCCAGCCTCAGGTTCATGACTCCTGCCTCAGCTTCCCTGAGTCTCTGGGATTACAAGCCTATGCCACATCTGTGGTGGTTTGATTTTGTTTTTTCTTTTTTTTTTTCAGTTTCTTTTATACATTCACATATGCCACTTAGCTTGCAAAGTGAATATTCCAACATGTATACATTTCTCACCAATCCAGCTGAGAGTACTCTACACATTATCTTCAACAGATAATAACCCATTTCTTTATCCCATAATGCCTTGCCTCTCTATTTTTCTCCTTAATGTGCCACATCTGGTTTTAAGGGAAGGATTTTTGAACAGGAATTCAAACTGGGCTTTAGAATAACAAATCTGGCCTGAGGCTCCAGGTGGATGGGAAAAGAGAGTTGGAACATTTTAGACCAGCTAGGAAATGATTGCAAGGGTCCTAGGCAAGGCTGTAGCAGTTACAGGGGAGTAGAAGGGATGGGAGAGACATGAGCACTGTTGCCAACAGCACCTTTCATCCATCGCTCTGCCCCACTGTCCTTTTCTGAAGTGCATCTCCTCGCCCCAGAGTAGGGACTTGTCCCTTCCAAGGGCAGGGGCTTTGAGCTATATCTGGTTATTTATTAGCCTCCTGGCACATAATAGGCCTTAAATAAATATGCATTAAATGAATGAATAAATGAGGAAAGAGTCCAGAATCAGCTGGACAGGAAGAAAGCCAAGGTGCATGAAGAAAGAAAGTTGTCAAAGATGCTCCATGGGGTGGTGCCCTGATCAAGGGGAGGTTTTGCAACAACTACTGCCACCCCATCCCATCTCCATCACCGTGGCGATTACATCTGTTGACCTGGCTCAGCCTGAGCCAGAAATCCTGGAAATCACGCTGTGAACATATCCTCATCCACACCCAAAACAAAATAGCTCAGTGGAAATTATACTCCCTGATATAGATGAGGAAAATAAAATGGCTTGTGCAGAATTGAACTCGGCAAGCAGTCACCATAAATCGAAGCTGCCAGTGTCCTCACAGCCCTGCCTAGACCCCAATTTCAGTATGTATTTTGTTATGGTTCGCTATTATTCCTTGTGAAGAGTAATATCATCATTAATGTAGCTGATATGGGTCTCAATAGCAATAGTAACAAAACTACCATTCGCCAAGCATCCAATGACTTGTCCCAGGCAGAGGCCGAGGCAGTTTAACTGCCATTACTTTATGTAACCCTCTCAGCAGTCTCAAGGGAGAAGTATTAACATTTAATTTTACAGATGGATTCTGAGAGTTCAGAACCAGAGGACAAAGGTGTCAGCTCCATCCTTCTCCCAGGTCAAAACTTTTTACCATGCCTTATCTTATGAAAATGACACATGGGTTGCCCAAAAACCATGAGCCCAGGAAAACGGTAGAATTGGCTCTAATTCAGCTTTTTATGTCTAGGCACAGTGTGCCTGGCACATAGTAGGTGCCCAATTTGAGTTGGAACATGATAGCAACAGAAACATCCCAGGTCCCTGAGAGTCATGGGCCAGGGCCCCAGCAGGCAGTGGAATTTGAGGGCAACCACCTACCCAGGCTCCTCTTTTCTTCGTGGCGGGTCTGCAACTGGATGGGTCCCAGGACAACGTCCACCTTTTCCTGGTAGGAGCCCACGTCCCTCTTGGATCTCACTATGCAGCCTCTGTGGCACCGGGAAGAGTAGTCAGATGCTCTGCACACCACCATTTTACATTGCAGGTACACGGAGGGGAATTTGAGGGCAACCACCTACCCAGGCTCCTCTTTTCTTCGTGGCGGGTCTGCAACTGGATGGGTCCCAGGACAACGTCCACCTTTTCCTGGTAGGAGCCCACGTCCCTCTTGGATCTCACTATGCAGCCTCTGTGGCACCGGGAAGAGTAGTCAGATGCTCTGCACACCACCATTTTACATTGCAGGTACACGGAGGGGAAGCGGTTCAGGTAGGATTGGTAGGTTTCATCTTTCACACACCTAGAAGAAGGGAAAAGCACCCATTAATTCTCATGAAGGCACTGGATCCTTCGTGACTCAGTTGCACCAGGCAAAGCACTCCATAGCCCATCCTCACTGATCAGGCCTCCTACACGCCAAGAAAAGGTGGACCTTCCTTCCTTCAGAACGTATGCATCAGACATGCAATGCTACACACGCAGACAGATCCTGGCAACTCTGGTACCTTTGAGTTTCCAGACAGACAAGCAGGCTCCATGTTGCAGTGGGTTGGGGCCCAACCACACAATGAACGTGTGCTCAATGGCTCCAGGTAAGCCAGTTGAGTGGGAGAGGTAGCCCAAATTTAGAGCATAGGAACAGGGCCCAGAAACAAAATAGGATTCCTCCCTCCTTTTCTAATCTCACAATCAAGAAAGGTGCTATTCAGCTAAGCTGACTCTTCTCCCAGGATTTCTCTCTCTTGACGCACCTCAGCCTGCTCTGAGCCCCATGCAGCTATACTTTTCTCATAAACCTGAGTACCCTCCAGCACCTCCTAATCTAATGTCAACCACCTCCTTGTTCCCCTGGACACCTCATCTTACTTGGTTTAAGAAGGAAAATGGTCTAAAAAAGTCTACTTGAACTTACTAAGATATGTATGAGAATGCTTCTCCCTGTGATCTCCTTATTGAAGCAGCTCCACTAACCCATGTGCATTTACAAAATGGTGAGATTTGGGGTGATGTGGCAAAGAGAAGAGCAAAGGAGACTGGACCACAGGGTTTAAAACAGACATTTTCCATGGATGATGAACATCATACCAAGGGCAGTCTGGCTCTGCCTAGAAACACAGCCCAGGGTCTGTCCACCCTCCTTCTGCTTTTCAGAGCTTCTTTCCCTCCTTCTCTCCTTCCCTCCTCCACATTCACCTATGATTCTCTCAAATACTGAGGTTGCTTTTCTTCATAGCAGCCCCCTTAGCAGCAGAGGCAGGAAAGAGAATAACCCAGAAGCTTATTCAGCGATGGGGTATTGGTAGAAGAGGCCAGGGTAACTCAGAAGCTACCTAGGCAACAAATGTTGAAGTAATTGAAATTCTACCTGTTCTACGCAGGCCAGAGCTCCATAGCTCAGGCTGCATTTCAGAATCACTCAGGAGATTTTTAGAAATGCAAAATACCGGGACCAGCAGTTGGTGTAATGGCTGTGTCGCTGGACTCCCATGTAGCACCCCCCTAATCAAATGCGGTTCGAGTTTCGGACCTGGTGACTTAAACTCATGCCAGGTGTGTGTGCATGCGTGCCCAAGATCCTGAGAAAAGAAAGGAGAAGGTATTGTGGTGTGGCCATCCCTCCTGGAGGGTGATTTCTCACTTTCTGTCTCTCTCTGTCTTTCTGGTAAGCGCACGTGCCCTATAGCAAAAACCTCTCCAAAAAACAAAAAACAAAAACGAAAACTCCAAATCCCACCAGAATGAATTAAGAGAATATATGGGTGGGGGCTGAACAGGATGTATTTGAAGCCCAGGTCGTTTTAATGGGCATCCAGGTGGATGAGCTGGTTGATGGCCAGGTATAACCAGAAAGTCCCTGTGCTCCATCTACAATCAGGTCACATCTTCCCCACATTCTATGTGCACATCCCTCTCATCCCAACAAATTGCAATATCTGAGATACATATATATCACCTCAACACCTGTTTATTGAACTGACATATTTTCTTTTTTTTTTTTTGGAGAGGTTTTTGCTATAAGGCGTGTGCGCTCTCCAGACAGACAGACAGAGAGATAGAAAGCGAGAAATTACCCCCCAGAGGGGATGGCCACGCCGCAATCCCTTCTCCTCCATTCTCCTCTCAGGATCTTGGGCACACATGCACACGTGCCCGGCGTGAGTTTAAGCCACCGGGTCCGGGACTCGAACCGCAGTCTACTACGTGGGAGTCCAGCGACATAGCCATTATGCTAACTGCTGGTCCCGAACTGACATATTTTCAAACTGTGTCTAGGAAGAGATACTGTTTTAAGTATCTCAGGGAGATCCAAAATTGAATCCCCCACACCTAATTCTTAGCAGAACCTCTAATTCTATTGGTATAACTTCTCTTGGGAAACAATGAATACTGAGATGTCAAGGTCTATACTGAAAGTCAAGAAGTGCCATCCACCCACCAATAGTCTACAGAGTAGAAATTAGAACTGTAAACCCTGATGTCTTAAGACTACTTCTTGAGTGTAGAAGACTCAAACCCTACCTCACCAGATCACCATCATTATTCAGGGAAGTGGGACTTTGGTAGTGCAGCCCAACCTGGACACCACTAGCTCACTTCTGCACCTCTGGAACTTGACTGGAACCATGGACTCCAGGAACTTCCATTCCCAGCAAGATGGAAGTCATAAAGACCCTCTGCCACCTTTGGTGCAACATTCTTTGTGGACTACCTGCTATGCACGTTCTGTGCTCACTGCCCATCAACTCTTTCTCATCTAATTCTCTCATCCAATCCTCCTGATATGGGCATCATTCTCCCCAGTTGATGGGTAAAGAAACTGGCTGGAGAAGAACATTTGCTTGCCCAGAGTCATGCGGCTGGCACAAGGCAGAGCAGGCATTTCAAACTTGGTGTACTCCAAATGCAATGCATTTCCCACTACACATATGTCTTTTTACCTCTAAGGCTGGAATTTGAGCATTTGGGTCTAATCTTAGTTTATAATGAACCTGCTGAGTGACCACTTGCTAAGTCATTCAATTTGTCAGGCACCCACCTCCTCTGGAGATGATACTTGGTCACCCTGCCACCCTAAGCAGGGTGGTGGTCCAGGACATAACATGAAAGCACCTCTAAAGTTAAAAGCTGTAGGATGTTACTATGTGCGGAAATGGATCTGGTTAAGACTGAACTATTAAGGAACCTTGGTTAACTAAAATTTACATTCCTTAAGCCTTTTGTGCCACTCATGTTTAAATTATTAAATAAAGGTGCAAGTCTATTACATAAAGGCACTCCTTACCCACTCCGGATTAGATCATAAGTCAAAGATGTAAAGTCACTGAAGTATGGTGATGCAACACAAGTGTCCACAAATAATGCCAGATTATCATCAGAATTGAGAATTTCGGCCTGAAGGTACAAATTCTGGTTCAGGTCCACGTAGTATGGGATGCTGGTCACGGGATATACGAATGAAGAGGATGTATAAAAGGAAATGTTCACATCAAAATTGCTGTACTGGACTTCTTTGAGCTCAATGGTGTCATTAGCAATGTACATCATGTCAACCCAGGTATCCTGGAGCATCTTACAGCTGACATGAATGTGGAGATCTTTCTTCCTTTTGATGATGCCACTTGAAACAGCTGCTTTGAGGAAGTTGGAATAGATGATGGTGTCGTTGTCTACCTAGGAGAGGTACGCAGGAGAGCTGAGTCAGGCAAATACCACCTGATGAGACAATTCCATGGCTGATTTGGATTAGAATGAGAGGAAAGTGACTCAGGAGCACTTCACAACCTTCTGAGATCCACTCAGAGCCAGCATAGTCCTATTTCCATGGCTACTATTGCCTGGGCTTGGACCCAGTTTACCTACCAAAACTACACTCCTTTCACATTTTCATACTTCTTCTATCACATGATAGGGACCACAATTCAGGCCAGTTGTGGGGGCTTCTGGGAGCTCCTCCTCATGGTAATATGGGTGTGTCTAGATGATCCCTTGTCCCACCATATAACTAGCCAAGTTTGGACTCCATAGTTCAGGGCCTTTATTGCTTGTTCTGCTTTATTCTTACTGTTGCTGAGGGTACTGCGGATACAATCACTTGTGAGATGGGGACTTGGTGGAATCAACTTCCATTTTGTGTTTTGATAAATTGGTAGGGAGCTGGAAGTCACAGAGATCCAGAATCATAACTGCAGCAGGTCTTGACCTCTGGAGTATGGACTTCCCCAGAAGCTCATATGAACAATTAGATTGTTGGCCAAGCCAACATCAAAGAAATTCTTGTCCCACCCTGCTTTTTCACATCCCTGTACCATGGAGCCGTTTCTTACTGTGCCTTTCACTAAGCACCAAACTGATAAGAATGTTGGTGTCTCATTTTGTTTGATGTGCCTACCATCTCTTGAAAGTGACCATTTTAGGGATGAGAGCCTCACATCTGGGGACCTGTGAGCATCTCAAGGAACAGATGATATCTAAACACCTCTTTGGGATGTTTGGGATAATGTCACCAATAGCATCACTAGCATCTGCAAGCATCTATGACATGAATACATGTACAGGGGCTAGTGGCGAAGTTCTGTGATAAGTAGAGGACAAACCCAGGAGCAGTCAGTTCACTGGCCAAGAGGACACGAGTGAACAAATCTCCATGGTCATGATCACTGGCCTCAAATAAAGTGAGCACAAGAAAGTCATCACCAGGCTAGGGAATGCAGGGAATTCATCTCCTCCTGAATGCCATGATGGTCAGAAGCAAACTTCTCCCAGCCTGGTATGGTACAAATCTCAGCATGCCATGGATGCTTTTGCAAGAATGTGGGCAAAGGTAACACCATAGTGACCTTAACAGAAATCCTTCAACGTAGGCAACCTTATTCTTCACAAAGAGACATTTGGCACTTTAGTCAAGTACATTGTCAAGGACAAAACTACATTCCTGGTTGATTGGGACATTAGACAAAGGTCACTTCTAAAGGTCACTTGCACAGCTTAGATATAATTGTACTTCAAAAGGATGTTGGAGCGTCTTCTATTTCTTATTTGCAGTTATAGAACTCTACTCAGAATTAATCCCTTCTAGACAAACCTTGGGAAAATAGAAAAGTTTAACAAGAAACTCAGAAGTAGTTTCTTTTTCCTTTTTTTTTTTTCTTTTCTTTTTTGGAGAGATTTTTGCTATAGGGTGCATGCACTTGCAAGAAAGACAGAGATAGAAAGCGAGAAATCACTTCTCCCCCAGGGGGGATGGCCACACCGCAATCCCTTTTCCTCCATTCTCCTCTAGAGATCTTGGGCACACATGCACATGCGCCCGGTGTGAGTTTTAAGCCACCGGGTCCAGGACGTGAACCGCAGTCGACTACATGGAAGTCCAGCGACATAGCCATTATGCTAACTGCTGGTCCCGCTCAGAAGTAGTTTCAACATTTCTAGGACTTATCCCTCCTCTTTTCTCTGATCACTTAGTTCTTTTTTCCCAGACTGACCAGGAAGTTGGGACACAGTCACTTGGGCCAACAAAAAGCACCAGAGCCTGTACTCTGTGCACTCGTCAGGAAAAGGAAAAAACTTCAGCAATGGGCTCCACGCTTTTCATCTGCTTTTAGGAAGCACATAATAATTTCTGCCTTTAAACTTAAAAATTGTTTTAAGGGGGGACTTAGTCTTTTCAGTCATATCAGCCAACATTTGCCATCAAGGACAGCCTGGTGGAGCTGTGGAAAGCTCCAGCTATGGGTTGCACAGTCCTGCTGTTCCATTTTGACTTTTCAATTCATGACCAAGTAGTCTTGGATAAACAACTTAATTTCTGTAAGCCACTATATCCTCATAATTAAATGGAAATACAAAGGGATTTTACAAAGTTCATGGAAATGGAATTAAAGTGCAAGTTTATTTTGATGCGAAAAAAAAAATTCTGTAGACCAGCAGGTGGCATGGTGATTAAGGTGCTAGATTCCCACATGGGCAATTGTAGTTTGAGCCCTGGACCTGGTGTCTTGAAAATCACAACAATTAAATAGTTAAATAAATAAATAAATAAATATTGTTTAAAAATTCTGAAATCCAAGCAGTTTGTTCATAATACACATTTTCCATGAACTTTGTGAAGACACCACAGAGGGTTATCACAAGATTTTTAAAAGCCATGGAGAACTCTTAGTTCAGTGTCTGGCAACTGTACTAGCTGTTAATAACACTATTTTAGGCTGTGTACAGGTTCTGAGGGTTACAAAGATGAATAAAACATGGGCCCTGCCACAGAAGCACACAGTTGGATAAGCTATATGGTTATTTAAACAAATGAAGGCATAAGATTATAACCTTGCTGCCTATAACCAGCCAAGTTGGAAGAAACTAGGTTAGCACATTGTTGGCAGCTACAGTGGATATAAAGGACCATCAGTAAAGTCATTCGAATGTCCAAGGCCCCAGGTGCACACTTGGAACAAGGAGCAGTGATTACCTTTGGTAGACTGACTCCCACTGAGTAATCTCATGGCAAACCAAACCCAGCATAATTAATCTACAGGGCAAACTATAAGCACAAGGTTGAATAGAATATTTGCATGATGTAACTAATACATACGCTTCCCCACAAGAAAGTCTACTTGACCCACTGAATTCCTCTCAGTAGGATAACTCAGAAGGTGTATGTAGAGTCTGATTTGGGGAGCTGAATGACCATGTGATGGTTGTGGACCCTTAGGCCTATGGTATCTCCTTTTCCTCTCAGTATTTCACATATCAAGAGAGAAGGAATGACTTTGCCAGGTAATTAACAGCATCAGCTCAGCACAGAGCATAGTGCCCAGCACACTACAAAAGCTCAGTATGTCTTTGGTGAATGACTATAACTCCGACGTACTGAAGGCATCTGAAGGTGTGGATGAGACACTGTACATATTTGGGCATTTCATGTGGTCGCATGCCAAATAAAACTATTGGTACTTCTGTCTCTGAAAGACAAAATCTTGATATAACTATTTAGGTGCCAGACAAAAATTCAGAATATAGGATGACTAATTTTAAATAAATTTACATAAAATGAAATATATTCATGATAAATGTACCAGTCAGTGAAGTTTGGCAATGTCATGGTCACCACAACCAAACACAGAACAATTTCCATTGCCCAGACAGCTCTATCCTGCCCATTTATAGTCAGTACCCTCCAACCTGCATGGCAGCAGACAACCCCCGTCAGCTTTCTGTTGTGACACATTATTTTCCACTTCTACATTTTATATAAATGGAATCATAAAATATGACCCTTTTCTGTATGCCTCTTTTGCACAGCAGGATGTTTATGAGATTCTCAGATTTTTGTGTTGGCCTTACCACTTTCTGGTTAAGTGTCCTTAGACAACCTACTTGGTCCCTCTTGGCACAGTCTCCCTATTTATGAAGGGGGGATAACAAGAAGCAAATTCTTGATTCTCTTATAGGCTCTTTGGGGAGCATGACATAGACTAATCACCACATATGTCACTCTTAGGGTGACCAACAACCCCAGTTTGCCCAAGATGGAGTGGTTTCTTGGGATGTGCATCTTTCTATGCAAAATCTACAAAGTCTTAGGCAAACCAGAACTGTTGGTAACCTTAGATGGTAACAGCTCAACAAATTCAGAGGCCAATTTACTGTGAAGCTAATGAAGCTTAAGGTTTAGGGCCTCTCTACTTGTACTCAGGCTCCCTTCAAGGCTTAGCAAAGTTTGCACGACCATATTTTTTTAATAAAATGTATAAAAGCAAGACACATATATTTGCATTCTTTAGTTTTATGATGCCCCTGTTCCTCTCCTCCATCCACTCCAAATTGTGTAAACTTTATGAAACCTATAGCCACCTCTGATGTGAGGGGCAGCCTGCCAGTACCCTCTCTGTTGGAGAAATTGTTGTGCTCCTTTCCTCCTCTTTCTCCTATTTGGAAGGACCTTGCAGCTATACGATGGCACCAAAGATTTCTACCTTCTTTTACTCTGGTTATGTTCTGATTACACCATCATCATAACTTCTGGGTGCCCAGAATACAAGAAACATAGCATATATCACTATAAGAAAGCTTGTTCAATAGGAAATAGAGTGGGGAGCCTCAGGCTTACCTTCTTGATGGTGCCACAGCCTAAATAGGGAATTGAGAATATCACCTGGCTCAGTGTTATCTCAGGTTGACATGGGTAGTTCTCATTCCAGCTGGCAATGACAAGGTCCGTGGCAGAATAGCCCAGGGAATGAAGGTAGCTCTTGCTCACACTGGCTTGCATGTGATTTGGCAGACAAAGTAGGTCTGAGAGATGAGAACAGATTATTCATTCAGTCAGTGCTCCTAATCCCCTTAAGTCCTACTAGATACTCTTCCCATAAAAAGGTGCACCAATCGAGATGGCTGACAAAACTGATTGGTAGTTGGAATATGTATAGTATACATCTCACTGCAACCCCCAAGAGACCACGTGGCTCAAGTTAGTTCCATCCACATGAAGTCCCAGTGAGAGCACACAGACTTAGGATTTGATTTCTTTGATGGAGAATTGGAAGCAAGATTTTAAATAAGTGAAATGTTTTGCCAAGATGTCATTTATCCATAAAGTAAGATATCATTATAGTCAAACCATGAAAATATTGTATAATAAAGACTTTTTTTTTTTTGAGAGAGAGGTTTTTGCTATAGGGCACATGTGCTGTCAGAAAGACAAAGGGAGACAGAAAGTGAGAAATCACCCCCCAGGGGGGATGACCATGCCGCAATCCTTTCTCCTCCATTCTCCTCTCGGGTTCTTGGGCATGCACGCACACGCACCCAGCATGAGTTCAAGCCACTGGGTCCGGGACTCAAACCACAGTCGACTACGTGGGAGTTCAGCGACATAGCCATTACGTCAACTGCTGGTCTCTATGATAAAGGTTTTTAGCTTTGGATAAAGACAATATTTCAATTTTTGACAGCATAAGAGACCTTGGATGTCACCTTGGCCAGGCCTTGGCCATTGTGTATTTCAGTCAATGTAATAACTCAGATTGTGACTGGACAGCTTCTGTTGAAAGTAAGTGACCAGCTCAGTCTGTCTTGAGATAGAAACCAAGTTACTTGGTCTCTGGACATTCCTCAGTGTCCCATACTCTGAGAAGAGGTCACAAGGCTTCAAGCCAGGTCACTTCTGCCTTGAGCACTGCTTGCTGAGAGCAACATCTTTCACCATCTACTCGATCTCTGCCAAAAACAGTAAGGCAATACACTGTTCATTAGCCAGTTATGCCCCTTGACCTCGTTTCTGGGAAACTGGAATCCTAGGATCTGCTGCTCTTAATCTCTTTTAGTGGAAAAGCAAGCATGGTAACCTGCAAGCCTGCTCTAATTTCTTATTTCATAATCACAGAACTGTTGAGAAGCAGAAGGCTCTCAGTAATGTCCTGCTTCTCACTGGGCATTCTCACTAGGGAACTTACTGGTGCTGTCATTGGAGGGGGTCGAGTAGTACTCCGCCTGGAACCCTCTTCTCGAGATGCTGCTATCACTGATGAAGCGAATTGACATGAAGTTTGATGATGAAGTGAAGGAGCCCCTAGCTCCATCACAAACCCGAGCAATGAGAGGGGAACTGTGGTAGGGACCATCAAAAACGTCAATAAAATCATAGTTGCAGCCACCTTCAAGCCTGCAAAGACAGAACACACAGTTGTGTCTTCAGTTTTACCTACAATTAGATGCAAGGGGGGTCAAATATCAGCAAGCGGTTGCACCTCTGTGCCAGAAACTGACAAAATTAGTCTTTGAAAACAACAGTTTTTCTTAAATCAGATAAGGGATTCATCTTCCCATGATCTCCATGCCTGGGTCTTAGATCTGCCTTTTAGGGTTACATATATAAAATGTATAGCCCCCTACTTCAACTACTTTTTTTTCTTTCTTTCTTTCTTTCTTTCTTTTTTTTTTTTTGGAGAGCTTTTTGCTATAGGGTGCGTGCGCTCACCAGATGGACAGAGAGAGACAGAGAGACAGAAAGTGAGAAATCACCCCCCAGGGGGATGGCCACGCCGCAATCCCTTCTCCTCCATTCTCCTCTCGGGATCTTGGGCACGCACGCACACGCGCCTGGCGTGAGTTTTAAGCCACCGGCTCCAGGACGTGAACCACGGTCGACTACGTGGGAGTCCAGCGACATAGCCATTACGCTAACTGCTGGTCCCACTTCAAACACTCTTTACACCATAAAAGGAAAGCTCATATCTTGATGAATTGGGTTGTTGAGAAAGTAATGATGAATTTTTCTATGTATCACTTCTTTCCCAATGGCTTAATAGATCATTTTTCTCCCATGAAAAAGTCCCCGTCAGAGCCAAACATTCCATGGCGGAACCGCACGGGAAGGTCCCAGGTTCGTGTCCAAGACCTCGTCATTCACACCAGGCATGGGCATGTGTGTTCATAATCCAGACAGAGGCTGGGGTGAACAGCAACATGGGGACCCTATTGAGGATTCTTGTTTCTCTTTTTCCCTGCTCTGTCACATATTAAAACATAAATAAATAAACTTTTAAAAAATGTTCCTAGTTCTCCTGGGGAATAAAATAAATATTCATGAGTTCATAGTAATTGAAATAAATAATTGAATCAATAAATATTGGGCAAGTCAAATAATCTCTCTGAAGCTCAGGTTTCTTATTTATAAAGTAAAACAATCTTATCCACGCATACTATGGAGGGGTGTTGTGAGGCTCAAATGAAATAACATATGGAAAGATGCTGCAGAAGAGGCCATAAATAATGGTGGCCATTTTTTTTTTTGAGAGATTTTTCACTATAGGGCGCGTGCGCTTGCCAGACAGACAGAGAGAGACAGAGGGACAGAAAGCGAGAAGTCACCCCCCAGAGGGGATGGTCACGCCGCAATCCCTTCTCCTCCATTCTCCTCTCGGGATCTTGGGCACTCACGCACACGCACCCGGCGTGAGTTCTAAGCCACCAGGTCCGGGACGCGAACCGCGTGCGGTAGACTACATGGGAGTCCAGCGACATAGCCATCATGCTAACTGTTGGTTCCCGCCATTGTTATTAAGATGCAGGTTAAAGAACTAGTCATACTGGAGACAGTGGGGAGAAGGGTGGGAAATGGGGGAAAGTAAGAGGGAGGGAATCAAGGGGAAGAAAAAAGAAGTGAAACATTTAAGAGACCTAAGGTGGAATGAAATCTGTTGATTATAATGTATATGCTAATGTCTTTGACTGGACCAATATGCAGTGTATTTGTGATGGGAAAATTCATTTGGCATGCTGCAATGATATGCAGTGATTGAATATAAAAAATAAAATTAAAAAATAAAAATTTAATTTAATTTTTAAAAAGAACCAGCCATCATCAACCTTCTGCCATAGGATTTCAAGAGCTTTAAGTACACTACTTGTTATGACAAGAGCTTAAAATAATGTATCTTTCAAAACTCCCCATGAATTACTGAAACGGAGACTCCTAAGGTCACTGCAAACAAAAATTAAAAGCGAACATCTGTTCAACTTTGGCGGTTAAAAAAGAAATTATGGTACCCTTGTGTTGAGGATACCAGTTAACACTGGTTATCTTTTCATGATCAACTTGGCCAACCCCTTCTAGGATAAAACATGTATTTATAGGCTTTTATAGCTGTTTCCTTTGCTTAAAACAATGATTTCCACTTTTAATTGGGTGAGGAACATCTGTCATTCATTCTCCACCTCTGCCTGACCCTCAGGAGGTTCACACCAATAAGGGAGGAAGTAGGGAGAAAAAGGTTTCACAGAACAGGTATGATTATTGGGATTACTTGTACTATCACGATCTCGAGACTATTAGTACTCCTAAGAACAATCCCTCCTGCTGGATAATGTTTTCCAAGTATTTTTACCCATATATATATATATTTTTTTTTTTACCTATATATATATATTTATGACCTTCCATATAAGTAGTTAGGTAAGGAAAGCAAGTATTTTATTCCCCTCATTTGCCTGAGGCCCAGGAAAATTGAAGAACTTCCTGTGATCAAACAGCAGACCTGGAACTTCAAATTGGAGTTCTTATTCCAGGAATCTTGCCCCTGCTCCCCTACCCTCCGTGCTAGCTTAGAAACTAAACCCTTTATTTAAAATGTGAAACAGGGGGCCAGTATATGGCATAGAAGTTACATCACTGAACTCTCACAAGGCCGGCCATGATTAGAGTCCTGGACCTGATGGCTTGAAAATCATGCTGGAGCCTGTGCATGTATGTCCAAGACCCTAGGAGGAGAATGAAGGAGAAGAGATTGCAGTGTGGCCATCCCTCCCCAGGGGGTGATTTCTCATTTTTTGTCTCTCTGTCTCTCCAGCAAGTGTATGTGCTCTATACTAAAAATCTTCCTAAAAAAAGTAAAATGTCTGTGAGATCCCCAATGCCTTCCGCTTTGTACCCACATACTTACTGAACATCTCTGAAGATAATAGTCACGCGGTAGTTGTTCTGGACTTCAATGTCCCACACACAGTTGGCATTGTTTGGATAGTTCCCAGGATAAGATGGACTGGAAAAGAGCCCTGATGGCTGGGACAGGAAACCTCCACAGGAATAATTTGCTGTCAGAACAAAACAAAAAATGGTGATGATGACCAGAGTACACTGCACAGTCATCTGGGTGTTTGTTTGTTTATTTTAGCAATTTCCAAGACAGAAATCCAATAAGAAGTGCCCTAGACATGGATTGTTCATTGTGGGCCAGTCGGGATACCCTTCTAGGAGACTAGGCTTAGAGAAGGCATCTCCTCCTCACACTGCCATTGAGAAAAAGGGGATCTCCAGCAATCTCTGCCACAAACTTGTCAGGGAACTCAGAACTCACCATTTGGCTGGGTGAAGTTATAAATAGGAGCTGTTGGCAAAGAGAAAAGATTAAGATTAGTTTTCCAGCATCCTCAACACAATGATTAAGTGCTTTCTCATCCCTGCCAGGCACTGTGCTCACCTTGGGTTTGTGCCAAGGAGCTAGCACAGGCCCTGCTCACAGCCTGCAGGGGAGGATGTAAGAGATCAAACCCTTGCATCCTCTGAAAGAATGGGAGCCCAGACATTTGGTGTCTGACCCAGACAGGGTGGGGAAAAGAGGGCAGGTAAATGGAGACAGGTGAACAAGTAGAAGGAGCATTCCAAACTGAGGGAAGAACCTGGTCCCTTCTCAGGGGCCCAGGTATGACAGATCTGGGAATCTCAGAGCAGCTGGAGCCGGGAACGGTGAGAGAGAGGGCACTAAACATAAAAAGGGAGCAAATCATGGAAAGTCCTCACAGTTGTGCTGAGAAGAAAGAGTCTTTACTTGGAAGGCCCCAAGGAATAACTTGAAGAGTGGTGAGTAGGTGTGACAAATCTCGGACTAGCCTTTGTATCTAGTAAAGACACCCCTGAATGCCCAGTGGAGGGTGAACAGGAGGGGGCACACCTGCGGCGGACGATAAGGAAGTGAGGGTGGGGATGGAGTGGAAAGCCCTTTAGGAGTCAGGAGTGTGCTGAGAAGACTTTGATAGCTGGGATAGCTCAAGAACAGGCAATGAGGAGGTGTTGCCCTTTATATATACCAGGTTCGGTGATGGAACAGCCACTCTTTTCTCTTTCCTTTTTTTTTTTTTAAAGATGTTTTTGCCTCAGGACACGTGTTCTTACCAGAGAGACAGAGACAGGCAAAGTGAGATGGAAAGTCAAAAATCATCCCCCAGGGTGATGGCCGTGCTATAATCCCTTCTCCTCCATTCTCTTGCTGGGATCTGGGGCACACACACACACACACACACACACACACAGACATACCCAGCATGATTTTCAAGCCACCAAGTCCGAGACTCAAACCACAGTCAGTCATGATGTAAACACTATGCCATCTGCTGGTCCCTTTTGGCCTGCACTGACCAAGGACTGCTACCTGGGAGGACAGGCAGTGCCTAATGGGTGGCAGGCTGTTCTAGAGACGGGCTGGAAATCTGAATTTTAGAGTAGCTGGGCCACTCTTGGACAAAGAGGGGCAAACCATTTTGGTGTATGACAAGAGACCACATCCTGCTGGGTTTGGAACATCACCTGCAGGGGATGTGACATGCCGGGAATGGCAGAATGGGCAAGGTGCTTGGAGGGTGAGCAACACAGACTCCAGGAGTGAGATGGAAATCACAGGTACTTACCAGGTGTTGTTGTGTGGCTTTCTAAAAAAAGAGATGGAAGAATAGCATTGGTCACAAAAGCATGGCAGGAGAAATGGCCAGAATGAAGTAGAGATACATGTTATTCATAATCTGACTGCCTTGGTGAGTGTACCCAATGTCTAATTGAGTTAAATCTAGAAGAGATCTAAGTGGGTTTCCCAGCTGCTTCCTCAGCTCCATCATTATTTATGCATCAAGGCCAAGGTCATAGTAACTATCACTTTCTATTTGTGCATAATTGTTCTAAAATCATTTCAATTCTCACTAGAAACAAATACTACCATTGTCATCCCCACAATAAACAAGAAAATAGAAGCTTACAGAAGTTAAACCATTGCTAAAGGTTAGAGAACCAGTGTGACTAGTATGAGAGCTCCGGGGTACAGAAACCGACCAAAGATAAAATGGCTCCCTGCATGTTCCCTGGACAGGCTAAGTGGACAAATGAAGCATCTACCCACCCCAGTTTCAGAAATGAGGCACAGATCCCATCAACCACTAGCCTAAACCTTCCCCTTTGTAGAAGGTTATGGGCTAAATGGGCCATCCATGACATCGTGCCTTACCTGAGCAAATGACACCTGCATCTTCATGGTGGCCACAATTGTGGGAGAACCAGCCTCGGTTCTGGCACTGCCAGAGAGTAGATTCTGTTCCTACACAGTACACATCATCCAGGGTGATGGGGCCAGAGCCGGAGCCAAAAAAGGCATTTCCCACAGCTGATACTGCATTTCCACACCCCACCTGTCTGCAGACCACTTGGGCATTCCAAATGTTCCAGGAATCATCACAAACTGTCCCCCACTTGCCACTATGGTAAATTTCCACACGTCCAGCACATGCACCATAAGAGGAGCCTGAATTGACCAATCTCAACCTGGCATCTGAAAGACACACGCAGTAAAATACAATGACATATCCCACAACAAATCGCAAAGACCAAGTAACCCACTGATCTCTTCCCATCCCCCAAATTTTCAGGCAGAAATGTGTACACCTCATGGCAGAGGCACTGTACCTCTCCATGGAAAGCTGGAAGAGACTCCAGACATCACAGAGCCCAGATCCCCTCACCTACAGATGGGGAGGGGCTGGCTCAGCAAGGAGAGTTACCAAGTCCTCCAAGGAGCCAGTAGTAGGCTCAAGGCCAGGTGTGTCCTCTCACTGCCATGGCCCAAAACAAACCTCTCCTGAGGTTCGCACAGTCAGCTCTGCGATTTAGAGAATGGATAATGCTTGTCGACGCCAGAATCACAATATAGCCTTAAGAACCACAATACACCCACAAGAGAGGACTGGATAAGTCCACCAAGCCTCACAGGTCAGGTTTGGTTTGCACTTACCTCTTGGAAAGGAGTTATACCAAGCCAAAAAGCCAGTATTTTGGAAACTGACATCACTTCGGAATCGAACCGTCATTCGGTTGTAAGAAGATGTGAATATTTGCCTGGTGTCATTACAGATTTTCCCCATCAAATTACTACTACTTGATGGTCCATCAAAGATTTCAACATAATCAAAACTGCATCTACTGTTCACCTCCAACCTGAGGAAAAAAATTGTATTTAAGTCAATATTTAAATTTTTTTATTTCTTTAAAAAATTATTTATTTAACATTATTTCTTATTATTTTTTTAATTTGACTTGTTAGAGACAGAAAGGGGAAGCTGCCAGGTCTGGGTCTTGAACTGTGGTAGGCCATGTGGGAGTCCAATGCCTTAACCACCATGCCACCTTCCAGCCCCCAATATTGAAATTACTATTGCTTCTCTATTTTGTAGATATTTTGGACTTTGTAAGTGATGTCCTGAATGTAAGTTATTTTCTAGCTCTTTCTCAATCAAGTCATAGAACTTTCCAATATTGCTTGGCTTCATAGTAGGAATCAAAACATTCCCAAAGCTTATCTATGGCACACAAGAGTGAAAACCAGCCCAGCTCAGGACTCAATCTAAATTTCTGGGTGTGTGCCGTGGAGGATTCACCCTTCACCAGCTGACCTGGTGTTACTTACTGCAAGTTTCTGAAGCCGAGGTTGATGCGATAACCGGAACTCACTTCTATTTCCCAGACACAGTACGCATTGTTGGGGTAGTATCCAGGATATGATGGACTGGAAAATGTCCCACTGGCATTGAATAAGAAGTCACCACAGTTTAAAGATAGGCCATGTGGGAGTCCAATGCCTTAACCACCATGCCACCTTCCAGCCCCCAATATTGAAATTACTATTGCTTCTCTATTTTGTAGATATTTTGGACTTTGTAAGTGATGTCCTGAATGTAAGTTATTTTCTAGCTCTTTCTCAATCAAGTCATAGAACTTTCCAATATTGCTTGGCTTCATAGTAGGAATCAAAACATTCCCAAAGCTTATCTATGGCACACAAGAGTGAAAACCAGCCCAGCTCAGGACTCAATCTAAATTTCTGGGTGTGTGCCGTGGAGGATTCACCCTTCACCAGCTGACCTGGTGTTACTTACTGCAAGTTTCTGAAGCCGAGGTTGATGCGATAACCGGAACTCACTTCTATTTCCCAGACACAGTACGCATTGTTGGGGTAGTATCCAGGATATGATGGACTGGAAAATGTCCCACTGGCATTGAATAAGAAGCCACCACAGTTTAAAGAAGGTCCTGAAGGGAAGAGAGGGACATTCTCATTGTGGTAGGTCTTCAGGTATTTCATAGCAAGCAGTCACCTGGGTAGGAGTCCTCATTGTTTTATCCTTTGTACTTTATAAGATGATAATTTTTTCTATTAAAAAAAGTCCCTTCTCTTGGGCCTAGTTGTAGGGTGGCCAACATTGGCGGCCTTGATCTGAGTCTTTGCTTCTTACCCAGGGTCCAAACAGCAATTCTCCAGCAAGTGGAAACCTAAGCTTCAGAGAGAGCACATGTCATCTTGCAGCAAAAATGTCAAGAAAGCAACAGAGGTTATTTCTGTCATTGTTCGATGGATTACAGAAAGAAACATAGAGATAGTACTAGCGGAGCACAGAAGCTGGCCCATAGAAGGCACTCCATAAGAGAATTTATTCCCTAGAGTCTTCTGGAAGCACGGGATCCTGTCACTTGCCAAACAATGTATAGTGGGGTGGGGAATCGAGTTTCTGCAACAGAAAGCCTGGGTTCGCATCTTGGCTTTGTCTCTATCAGTTCCAGGAACCTGAGCAAGTTACTTAACCTCTGTGCCTGTTTCCTTGGAAAAATTGGGAGTGATGACGGCATCTGTCTCATCAGACTATTGTAAGTATTGAATGAGATATGTATATATAAGCATGTACACATAAAATGAGATATGTTTATATGTATATAGAAACTCTTACACCTGGCCCATCATAAGCACCCAATAATATTAAGTATTACTTATCAAAGAGGGATAAATACTAAACATTAAACTTTAGATGGCTGGCTTATTGTAACATATCTTGTTTTTAAGAATTATTTAACTTTCTTTTTCTTTTTACTTCATTATTTCTTCCTCTTTCTTTCTTTATTTCTCTCTTTTCTTTCTCCTTCTTTTTAATACAGCAGTTGTATTTCTACACTGGGAAGTAATCAAGGATAAGGTCAAAGTTCTAAGGACAAAAATATGAACAAATTTCTAAAAATAAAATAAAACCATTATAAAATAAAATAAAAATGATGCTGCATGAGGAGACTTCAAAAGTTCATGGAAAATTGAATTAAAGTTCAAGTTTATTTTGGTACAAAAAATTTGAAATCCACGTACTAGTTTTTTGTAATACTCATTTTCCATGAGCTTTTTCTTTCATGAATTTTTTGAAGACCCCTCTCATGTGTGGTTACTTAAGATTATAAAATATAATTAGACATAATTTTTTTGTACCAAATTTAGTAATTATTTGAATATGGTACATCCATACAATGAAAATATTATAAAATCATTAAATTTTATTATATATGGAAAAATTCAATGCATAAATGCTCATTTTAAAGTCATGAAAAAAAATTTATTATATTCTCTTAAGTAAAAATACACGTTACAAAAGGTATATAAAGCATGCTGTACAGTGTATGTATGGGAAGGATGCATGCCAAAACGCCAATAGTAATTACATATGTCTTCATCTATTCATTCGGTCATTAATTCATTTATTCTTTTAGTAAACATTTCTTGAATGATGTACGCAATGCTAGGTAATAAGGGTGAGATAGTGAAAATGGCAGATGTGGCCTTTGCCTTCAGGAAACTCAGTGTCTCAGTAAATAAAAATATGATCTTTTGCAAATGAGCTTCTATGTAACTTCCCAATTCAAAACTTTTGATCAGCTCACACTGCCCTTAGGATAAAGTCAAGAACTTTGAACCTTCCCAAGAAAGAACTTCCTTTAACTTCCTGATCAAGTAAGGTCTATGTATAAATCCTCTTTGCACTTTAACCTTTCCCTGTTATAAATGTAATTACTTAGTTAATTCTGTGTTAAATATTTAATATTGTTAACTACCTAAGGGATGAGATTGGTATGTCGTTCTCATCATTGTGAATTTTTACAACTATTCTCAATAACAATTTGACTATGCACAGACTTTTTCACAGAAAGAGCTATATTTATAAAGTACATTTGATGTACCAGGCACTATGTTAACTTTAGTCCAACAAATCTATTTCTAGCCTTAAAAAAAATTGATGATGGGAACCAGCAGTTGGCGTAATGGCTATGTTGCTGGACTCCCACATAGTCGACCGTGGTTCGCGTCTCGGACCCGATGGCTTAAATCTCACGCCGGGCGCGTGTGCGTGCGTGCCCAAGATCCCGAGAGGAGAATGGAAGAGAAGGGATTGCGGTGTGACCATCCCCCCTGGGGGGTGATTTCTCGCTTTCTGTCTCTATGTCTCTCTCTGTCTGTCTGGCGAGCGTACGCGCCCTATAGCAAAAACCTCTCCAAAAAAAAAAAAAGAATTGATGATATATGCAACAAATTATCCGTAAAAATATTCAATATCACAGAATCATTTATAATAATGAAGAAATATAAACAACTTAAATGTCCAGTGACTAGGGAAGAGTTAAATAATTCATGGCATAGTTGTACAATAATACAATATGGGCATTTAAATTGACAGTGAGAGATTTAATGGCACAAAAAAGTAGCCTTTTTTTTAAAAAAAGGATTATTTATTTAATTTTATTTGTTCATTCATTTCTTTTTTTTCTCTCGGGATCTTGGGCACGCACGCACATGCACCCGGCGTGAGTTTTAAGCCACCGGGTCCGGGACACGAACCGCGGTCGACTACGTGGGAATCCAGCGACATAGCCATTACGCTAACTGCTGGTTCCCTTCATTCATTTCTTTTAATTTGACCAGAAAGAGACAGAGAAGGGGAGGGAGGAAGGGAAGGAGAGAGAGAGAGAAAGAGAGCGAGAGAGAGAGAAAGTGAAAAAGAAAGCCACCAGGTCCAGAACCTGAACCATGATCAGATGTGTGGGAGTGTCCAGCACTTTAACCACCATGTCACCCGCTAGTCCCCACCATATTGTTTCTTAAAAGCAACAGAAAGCTGGGACCAGCAGATGGCATAATGGTTACATTGCTGGTCTCCCACATAGTCAACTGCAGTTTGAGCCCCAACCCAGTGGCTTAAAATTTATGCCAGGCACAAGGATAATGGAGGAGAAGGAATTGCAGTGTGACTATTCTCCTTGAAGAGGTGATTTCTCGCTTTCTGTCTCTCTGTCTCTCCAGCGAGAGCACACGCCCTATAGCAAAATATCTCCCTACAAAATAATAATAATAATAATATGAGCAACAGAAAACGATGAAAAATACCTTTACTGGAGCCAGCAGACAGTGTAGCAGTAAAGGCAGTGGACTCCCACATGGCTAACCGCGGTTTGAGTCCTGGACCTGGTAACTTGAAACTCATACCAGGCGCAAATGTTTGCCTGTCCAAAATTCTGAGAGAATGGAGGTGAAGGGATTGTAGCACGGCCCTCCCTCCTGGGGATTGACTTCTCGCTTTCTCTCTCTGTCTCTCTAGCAAGTGTACATACCCGAAAGCAAAAATTTCTCTCTAAAAAGAAAAGCACTCATATCATGGAATAAAAATTACATGGAAAAATATAAATTACTTGCAAAATTATCAATTTATTATTTGTTTCCCTCATTTCTTCTAAATGAGACCAGTTTTTGGAGATATTCCAAAAACTAAAGCCTGTGTATATATTCTTTTAAGAATTTTACCTCATTGATTTAAGACAAGGATATAGAACTCTTTGGTTAAAACAATGATCATCTACCTAGCAGGAGAGGGATGACTGGTGTGTGTGTGCAGGGTGGTCACAGGATATGATGGAACAAACCAGGGTTGTGTGTGCAGACTGATGCAGGCTGTGTATGTGTTGTGGCGTGGAGTCTGGGGAATCCACTTTATGGATAGCCACGCTAGGTGGTAAGAAATTCTGTGGTTCAGGTGGGAACATGATACTTACTTGAGGTGGTTGTACTTGTTGGATACCACCAACCTAAAAAGCAAATGAAGCTATTTTAGGATTTTACTACATAACTCATTAACTCCATGGTCACTAGTGTGATACACATTAAACCTTTTCCTCACTACAGGACTTCTCATGTTCAGACAGTTAATAGCCAATAAGAACTAAAGTATGGGTAGCAGCAGTTGGCATAATGATTACATAGCTAGACTCCCATGTAGTCGACCATGGTTTGAGTCCTGGATCCAGCGGCTTAAAATTTATGCCAAGTACATGTGTGTGTGTGCCAAAACCCCAAGGGGAGAATGGGGGAGGAGGGAATGTGGTATGGCCATCCCCCCAGGGGGTGATTTCTTGTTTTTTGTCTCTCTGTCTCTCTCTGTCTCTCCAGCAAGCACAAGCACTCTATAGCATAAAAAACTCCCTCAAAACAAAACAAAACAAAACAAATACTAAAGTATGTAGGATTTCCCAATATATTTAGCACAGGATATTTTTACTGTGGCACAAAAAAATATATATATTCTGGAGATTTATCTCTCAAAGTCAAGGAATTATTTAGTAGACGAATGTGTAGAAGTGGTACATCACCATGTTTGTGAAATGAAGGTCACAACTATCCATGAGCTAGTTTAGACCATTATGCTAATCTGAAATGACGAGACAGCCAAAGCCACCTTCTACCAGCCGCACATCTGAATACTGTCAGCAGGCAATGGCAGGAGGTCAAAGACTGGGCTAGATGTGAATGTGATGTTATTAGAAATTCAACCTTAAAATCCAAAGTCTTTGGGGGAGAACTCACTCCTGAGGAGAAGCCACCCTACTCCTCTACACTTAGAAACAAAAAAGGATGGGATTTCAGATAGGACTGTTGTTAGTCTACACTTACCTGGTGTAGTAGAATGTGTTTGTACAGCTGTAAATAAAACAGAAGAAAACATGAATCAGTTTTGGTGGCCAGAAGGTGTTAGAATTAGCCACGAAAGAAAATACGCAAGAGAAACATTGAGTCCCTCTTTTTTTCACCTGAGAGTGTTCCCTGACAGTCCTCTAAGACAGTTGAATAGTAAATATAAACTTCAAGGGTTGGTCTCAAAAAAAGGTGATGGGGAATTTGTTCCTATGACCCTAGAGTAGATTGAACCCTTGTCCTCTGTAGGGACCTAAAAAGAAGAAGCTGTTTTACATCCATAAAATTCAGAGACACCAATGACATTTGGTGAAGCTATTTTTCTGTGGTGGTATTGGAGAAACTACACATCTTAGAGAACATCAGGGTGAGAAAAGCCCAGTGAAGAAGAGCCCTTTCTTGGAAAAAACTACATAATAAAAAGAGGCCCAATATCTTGAGGCCCACCGGAACAGATGACATCAGAAACTTCCCCATAGTTATAGTTATGAGAGAGCTAACTGCTGTGGGGGCAATTCCATAGGTAGGACTCCTGTCCTAAGCATCACTGATATCCCAACTGTCATCACACGTGATGCCCCAGAAGCCTCGGTAAAGGACTTCAACCCAGCCCTGACACTGGTCACCTACATTCATAGTCTCAGAACCAAACTCAAATCATTTCCTGCAGGAGATATAATTACTGCTTGTTTCATTCTGTGTTGATAGTCAAGTTTATATAGGTAGTGTGAAGCCAAGAACACTTTCAAGTGGCCAAACTCCCTTGTGCAAGTTGAAGTCTACTCTACGGCATAAAAGTAGATCTCATTCCCTTCCTAGACCATGAGTGCTCTGACCTATAAGGGGAAGAGCTCAAGCCAACTCGCTCTCCCAGCCTTGTTAGGATGCTCTTGCCAAATGCTCAGTGCTAAGAGCCTGACTTCAGATGACTTCAACTCTGCTTACTGCTCTGCCTTGGAATGAAACTGTCCCTTACGGTAGCCTAATATATCCAGTCTCCCCTGTAGAATCAAAAGGGGTCATGAAAATTCACTCTCTCCTATGTCTCTCAAAGGAAGAAGTTCTGGGATTAGAGCAAATTCTAAATTTTTCCAGCAGGCCAAGACTTCTGAGTCCCAGATTAATATTCTCCAGCATCGGGGCTTTGTCTGAAACCTTATTGTCCTCAAGCAGTTGATCTATAGAATCCTTGGGTATGGGCTGAGCTAAGAATATTCTTTTGGTTCCCCCCACTACCCAGAAATTCAATTTCTAGCCAAGCCTTGGCATTTGCAGAGGTAAATAGAGCAGCTATCAGCCTGGATCCATAGTGATCCTAGTGATCAACCTGAGTACCCACTGTAGATGCCACCAAAGACAGGTTCCCAGCCCTACCACCACCACCACCTAGCAGCAATCCTAGGGCCTGATTTGTCAAAGATTTTACCTTTAACTGACTCATGTTGATTATATGGACTGTCCAGTCAGGCAGGGAAACTGGGCAGGAGGAACTGTACTGAAACTTAACTGTCATACTTAGAAGTACCCATGTCCTGAGAGGACAGAATATGGAGGACAAAAAGAAAAAAAAAAGGAAAACTGGGCCTCCATGGAACAAAGTCATAGATGCCAAATACACCTCAAGATAGGTGTCATGATGTCTCAGTCCTCACCTGGACCTGCCTATTTAGCCTGTGGGTGGGGCTAAGTCACAGACTCTGGTCTGACTGCTCTGGCCTTTCGGATTCGCATCTTTAAAATGATTCCCCTGTTCTCCCAGGAAAATACACAAAAAATGCACAAGCACTTAAAAAGATATATCACATTACTAATCATTAGGGAAGTACAAATCAAAACGACCATGTGATACCATTTCACACCCATTAGAATATTAGGGGGTTACATAGTAAGTTCACATAAAATTATCCCATGTGTAGGGCCAGCGTATGGTATGATGGTTATGTCAGCTGGATCCCACATGGCCAAATGCAAGTCAAGTCCCTAAACCAGAAGCTTGAAAATCACAACAGGCATGTGTTCATAAATGCCCAAAATCTTGAAACAGAGAAGAAACAGAAGATTGGCCATTCCCTACGGTGTGGAAGGGAGTGCTTTCTCACTTTCTTTCTTCTCTCATTGTTTCTCTGTTATTCTCTGGCAAGTGCACACAGCCTTGGGAAAAAAAAAAAACTTTAAAAAATTAAAATGAAAGAAAAAGATCATATAACCAGGAAATCCCACTGTTAGATGAACATTCAAAAGATATGGAAAAACGTGTTCAAATAAATAATTGCACACTAATTAATGTTCATAGCAGCCTTATTCACTACAGCAAAATGTGGAAAGAATTCAAATGTTTACTAAAAAACACGTTAACTAAATATGGTATATTCATTTGATGGAATACTACTCAGCAACAAAATGGAGTGATGTCCTGATGCATGCTAAAACATAGATAAGCCTTAAAAACATTATGGAAAGTAAAGAACACAAAAAAAGGCAATGGTTCCATTTGTAGAAAATGTCCTGAATAGGAAAATCCGTGAGAATGAAAGCAGATTAGAGGTTGCCTTGAGACGGGAAGTAAAAGGAACTTGGATATGACTGGTTAACAGAAATGAGGACTGAGGTGATGAAAAATTCCTGGAACAAGTTAGTGTTGATGGTTGGCACTAGCTAATGTCAATGAACTGTGCAATTTAAAATTGTTAAAATGGTAAATTTTATATTCTGTACCTATTTTACCACAATAAAAAAAAAAAGCAAAAATGACATTAATAGTAATTCCATAGATATAATCCATTTCAGATCATTAAAAATAACAGGCAATATTGAGAAGTTTAAAAAACAAAAAATAGACCATTATATAGGCTAATCATATCAGTCCTCCTGATTCCCTTACTGAGCATCTTTTCTCTGATGTTCGAAAACTGCAGGAAAGTATCAGACACTCTCTCAAGCTCTAAGCTTCACCTCCTGGAAAATACTGTCCATTTTCAAGCTCTAGACCAGGGCAGGGACCCTAGTACATAGAGGCAAGAGAACATTTAGGGATGTTTAGCAACCATGACTTCAAGTATCTTTATCTGGAGGGTATGGCTTTGCCAATATTGGATTTGATCTAAATGTTGGAAGACTCCAACATTTGCAATGCTCACCAAGAATACTGGGGCTGGGGACTAAAGGGCAAAGGCATCGTAGATATTTGATCATTGGCTCCAGTTTTGACTCACGGACTTCAGAGTCCTGGTCTTATTGTAGGAGGAAGGACCCGTCCTGTCCCAAGGCTAGACATAATCAGGCTTACGAGAGATGTTGAGACCCTCTGAAAACTTCCAAGGAAACTCTACTGACAGCTCAAACCCTGCCTGTCCCTAGTGCTCAGAGGAAAGAAAGTTCAACAGGAAGAGGCTGACACGGGCAACACCCAAGAAGAGAAAATGTTTTATCTTGGGGAGCACTAAGAGGCTATAACAACCCATGACCAGCAAAGGTGTCAGAAGTAACACTCTTATTGGAGAGTGCTTTTCGGGTTTCAAACCTCATGCCAGTTTTTATTATAACAGAAACCATTCTTGCTATTAAAAACATGACAAAAACACATGCAACACTTTACAAGTAGATACTTTCAAGTGTGTACTTTCTCCTTTTCATGCATGGGGATCTGAAGGTGGGCTTGTAATCCTGGCTAGATCATCAGAGCACCAGTTAGCAAGCTGGCTCATCTGAGTCTTCCCAGGGCTTGGCTGCCTGAGATAGCTGGACAGATAGCCTCTTCCTTCAGTGGTATGTAAACTTGGGCTGACAACTGCTGTCTCTATCACCAGGTGCACAAAGTAAGTTGATTAGTAAACACCACACACATAACACACTGGAAGTGGGAAAAGTGCAGGGAAACAGACTGGGAATCTCAGGATCCAGCTATACCTGATGCTCCTCATAAAACAATAAACATTCTAGATATATGAGCCAGTAAATTCTTCTATAGCTTATGAGACATTGAGCTGGGCTCCTGCCATTTGCAAACAAATATCCTGACTTATAGATTTCCTTTTAAGTAAAATTTACAACTACAAAGTGAAGGAATTCCTCCACATTGGATGAGGTGTTGAGCAACCAGAGTCTTCACGCACTATTAGGGAATTTTCCCCAGACCTGTTGACTATAGTGCTGAATATGATACTTTGCCAGAATACAAAGATACTTACTATAAGAAGGAGTTGTTGTATACCACCAATCTGGAGGGGAAAAAACAAACAAACAAAAAAACAAGAACGATGAAAAAGGAGGGAGGAGAATAAACCTAGGGTCTAGTGTCATGTAACAAGGCTCAGGGACAGAGGAGTCAAAGTTCTATGGCTGGGGAACCAGCAGTTGGCGTAATGGCTATGTCGCTGGACTCCCACGTAGTCGACCGCGGTTCGT